TCACTCACTTCACATATCATATCACTCACACAACATTGTCACATTGTGACATGTGACTTGACATGGCCCTTGATTCTGCTCAACCCAATACCCAATCTGTGTAGCAAGACTTTTTTGGAACGATTCTAAGATTCAGATGTGTTTTGCCAGCCAAGTCGACCATCTGTTCGGCGACATCAGCTGCGGAGTGACTGGAGGAGCGTGCGCAATACATAACCGGCGGTGCACTGTTGATGCAGAGCCGGAGGACTGCGTGAATTTGAGTTGTTTGGTTGCGTTCGTTGTGATTGGCAAGGGTTCCCGGTTTAACATCACTTTCTTTTTCGGATTAGTTAATTGGGAATCAATCAATCATCAATCTACTGAACTGACTACAGTTAGAGAGTAGCGGTTGGAGATGTATTATTCCGTTTTCCGCATTCTTTGCATCGGTGGGGGTCTGGGGCGTGGCTTGAAAGACTTATATGAGAGATATGAGATATGAGATATGTGCCTGATGGATGGCTGGAATGTGACTCGCAGTTCTCAGTGTCTCTTCTTGGACAATCTCATGCGCGTTACCTTCTGTGTTGCGTCAGGACATATTCTGCATGGGACCACCGTGCTGTCCCTATTCAGTCTTGAACAACAAGAGGCAGAACAAGGACTATAACCCATTTTTTGGAACCTTCTGCAGAAGCTTTCCTGTCTGGCTGCCGTCATGTTCGTGCTTTGGCAAGAAAGCCTAGCTTACCATTGGAACTGACCATGACAAGTGACAAGGTTTTGCGATCCAAATTCTGTCTATCTTCAAGAAATTTCAAACTGAACAAACACAACAGAAATACAGGACAGGAAAGGGCATTGGAATGGGCAGATTTGGCTCTGGGTTCTATGATCCGTTTTGTATGAAGTAAAGTGAAGTGGAAGTGATTGAAATCAAAGCCAAACAACAATGCCACACGTTGACGCTTGCTTTGCCCGAAGATTTGCCAGACCTTCAGGTGCCAGGCGTCCACGCGTGGTGTTGGTGGAGGAGGCGTGTGTGCGCCCACTCAAAAATGAATACTGTTCCTGAGAGAGTGGCGAGTGTCGTTGTCTATGTAATTTTTTAGGTTGTCAATTGGTGCGTCATGTATGTTAATGTTTGTTCCAAAACCTTACGCAATCTGGCGCAGATTGGAGGGTGCTCTAATTCTCTAACAAGATTAGCGGGGCGAGAAGTAACGCGAGAGTAGGGTAGGACCTGTACTGTACTTGGACAAAACTGGTAGTTGTAGTAGTAGCATGGTGCTTGGCGGTTTGGCCAGGGGATCTCAAGTCTGAGTCAAGGGAGTCGTCAACTCTGGGCTGCAGCAGGTGAAGGGCATTTATCGGCCTTTCCCACGAGGAAGCAATGGCAGTTTTTTTCAGGGTCTACAAGGCAGGGCAACCCGCTAGTTTGATGGGATGGTGATGGGATGAGTGACGTGATGAATCTTTGTTTGTGACCCTTCAATTGTCAGATCTTATACATCTTGAGTCAACTTTGCTTTTCGGTGCTTTGCTTCAAGTCACAGCGTGAGTAGTGGCTGGAAACTTACAACGCATCACCAGACTGCGCATACAGGATTCATCTCCACTAAATTAAGGTCCACTGACTCTCCTTCCTTTTTGTTTTCCATTAGCGGCTTGTGATTTCCACCTGACCAGAGCTGCCACTACTTTGACACCATGCTGGACCATGCTCCTAAGATCTCCTAAGTCCTAAGCAGATTCTTTATCACAGATGAAGTATCCAATTGAAATCAAGACCGTGTGTTATGTGTGTTGGAGTCGCTTACTCCAGCGTGCACTGAGCAATGCCGTTGGGAAGACTTTTCTTGGATGCTGATAGTGATGGTGATGCTGAAGAGAAAGAACATGAAAAGGACAGTTCGGATCCACATGTGATCAAGAGACGTTTGCAAACAGAGAAGGCTAGGAGTGCTTTGGCCTCCTCACGGGCAGCTCGGAAGGCATCAAAAGATTGTGGTGGTGGCTCTAGCGCCAGTAGTGCTGGAGTTTTTGCTGTATCAGGAATTTCAGATGCCTCTCCTGCAGCTAAATTTTTGCAGAAAAAAGTTTTTGACAGGAAGACTCCATCATTCCTATGCGTTGTCACAGGGTTATGAGACCATCACAGATCCGAACCAGAATCGGGGGAATCAAAGAGATCGTGCCAGATGTGCTTGGAGCCTTTTGTGCGCCATTGCCCATGCACTTGAAGCAATTTTTGCCGTTCCTCCAGCAAACCCTCCTGTGAAGTTTGTCATCAACACAGCAGTGCCAGATGACACCAAGGGGCCAAGCAAAGGTGACCGATCACTGGTGTTTACCGTGATGAATGTCGCCCAGAACTGCGTTGTGTGTTATGATGCTCCTTCGGATTCACAACATGATTGGCACTGTTTGTCTGTCCCTTGCCCTATATCCGTTTTGAAGGCGCCCAACCGGGAGCACATTCATGCTGCGTATGCTTCTCACTTGATTGCTGGTGGTTCAGGTGTGGGCCAAAAGTGGAAAGCACTAGGCATCACTGATACAGTCACCAATGCTATTACCAATGCAAAGTGGGCAGTGCAAGTGATGTGCGGTGACGCCCTTGAGGCAAACTCAGCAGCGTTTGCGATTGAGAGGAAATTGCTGGCAGGTAAGCGCATCAGCTCAGCTGAAGCCTGTAGAACTGTCGCTATGCGGATCAAATGCTGCAACCACCAAATGAGGTTGATTCGCAGACCTGTGGTTCTGGGAATTGAGAGGTACTGGTCGACACTTGTCAGACTAGCTCACCTTTTTGAATGTGCGGGATTCCGGAGACGATTTACTGCCGCTTTGGTGAGCTTAGTGCAGCGACCTGGTGTCTTTCAATGTGTCTTGAATGATTGATGACAGTGATTTTATATATTTGGAGTTTGGAGCCTTTTTGGTTTGTGTTCTGGTCAGTGTTTCACCCATTAACCTCTGAGTCAGTGGAAGCTATATGAATCAATCATGGGAATGCTGAGCCTAGGGCCTAGAGCGTAGAAATTCCCAAGATCATGTTTTGCAAATCTCACATGTCCTTCAGTGAACCTTGTCTGCGCATGCGTTGTCATTGCTCACCATCTAAGGGGTTCAAGTGGCAAAGTTTCCAGAAGAAATGTCAAACTGGCGGAAGAGAGCAGAGTGGTTGGTCAGGGGCTTTGATTCTCGATCGAAAGCTACAGTCACCGCCCTTCAAGACCTTGTTCAGTTCTTGAATGGCAACACTGCTGACAGTCAGGGGCGTTTGGTGCACTGGTGCCTATTGCCGGCCAGCAATGGTGGCCAAGTATGCTGTGAAAGTGAGGGTGACGCATGGAATCGCTTGATTTCCTGCTTGACAGCATTTCTCGCTAAAGGCTTTGCAGTGCCATTGCTGTACCGAATGAAACATTACTGCCAGGCATCCAGCTATATGCGAGTTGCCACCAACCTGCATGGCATTTTGCCACGAATTTTGCAGGAAATGGAGAGCATCAGTATGTCAAGCGCAAGCAGCAACAGCAAACTTTCTGAAGTGGTCGATGTGTTGTTGGCTGAGAGTAAAGTCGGGCAACAGCCCTCACAAGGGCTCAGCAATGAAGATTTTCAAGCGCTGTTGGGTGAGATGCTGACTGAAAACGCAGACTACGCTGCGCAAAACGGGGTTCGCCGCAAGATGGTCTTAGCCGAGGTGTCCAAGGAAACCTTCAGCCAGTCATCCATCATCATTGACATGTTGGTACAACCGCTGGAGCGTGCAACAAATTTTTTCTTGAAAAGGACAAAGCTACTTTACGACATGCAGTACCTTAGCCGTGCCAATCCTTGCTATGAGGAACAGGGGCGTGAGTCCAAGGAAAAATTCCTTCAAGTGATTCAGGGAGACCTGGGCAAAGAGCTTCTTCGATCCTACATCGGAGTCTTGAGCAACAGTCTCAAGGAAGCAACGGCCATGGGACTACAGGGGACACAAGAACAGCTCAACCTCATTTTTCAAATGGTCTGTGTCTCATTGACAGACTTGCAAAGGCGGTTGGTACAAGAGTTCATGCAGCCACCATACACTTTGCTTGCGCTAGCAAACGCCGATTTCCCAAGCTTTGTTTCAGGGTGGCAACAGTTGCAGCAAAGGCACAAGAAGTGCAAGCAATGTGTAGATGTTGAGTTCACATCTGCTTTGCTCAATGCATACCCCACTCGCATGTCTTCCGAGCTTACACCAGAGCAAGCGCCAGAGGTTGAAGAGGTCCAGGCCCTTTTGAGGGCAATCTGCACATGGTGCCCTCTCACAAGTGATGCAGTGGAAATCCTCCACGGGCAAATGCAATGGTGTTTGAGCAGACGAGGTTCGACATATGTGAAGGGGGGGGCGTAGTGCAGTGGAGACTTCGCTTCTCTCAATGGCTGTCAAACAGCACAAGTGGATCTCAGACATGGTAGCGTCAACGACTATGCCATCAAAGTCGGTTTCTTCTCGCATTCAGCGTATGTCTGGCACAACAAGTTCCAACCAGCACAGCCGCAAAGCCCCTGACAACGTTGAAGCCGCCGATCGGGTCTTAGTTGTTCAGGTGGCCCCAGGCCCAGGCTTCAGAGACATGTTCATGTGGCGTGCTGCTGCGTGCTCATGTAACATGTTTGCTTTGTTTCTGTTTGCTGATTCTGATTTTAATGTTTTTTCATGGCGGCCCCTGTCCCTGATTTCAGTTTTTGCCCACGGGCCCAGTCATGCTGACTTGTCCACACTCCACTTCACTGACCCCTCTGACTTTCTTCCAAAGAGTCAAAGTGTTGCCCTTGCACGTCTTTTGACATCACTGATGTGACAGATCCCAAACGATTGATAAAGTAGTAAGAGAAAGGGAATTTCGGAAAGGTCACTTTTATAGTAATATGAAATAAAGTAAGTTACTTCACATAATACTGTACTGTCCGTATATGTCCGTGCACTGAATCACTTGTCACTGACAAGAGTTAACGTGTCAACACTCAAGTGCCTTGAGGGGCTAAAGGTTTTGTTTGAGGGAGTGCTTTGTATGTTGACAGGTTTAAACTGGGAGGTTCTTTTTGCTGTCCAAATGTTCAATGATTGAGGAAGTGGCTGCAGTCCAACGAACCCATGGCGCTGCTCATGAAACACCTGAGGACAGAGAGGCGCGCTTGGCACACGCTGTGAGTCGAAAGGTTCGGAAGATTGCGGGTTGGAATGTCTATTGCAAGCAGCGATTGGAAGGATCCGCTTTCAACACCAAAGAGTATTCTGAACGAGTGAAGCTCATTGGACAAGAATGGAAGAATATGTCACCAGAGGAGAAAGAACCATTTGCAGTTGAAGCTTCTCACCAGAATGAGCTACGGCAAGAGTTGGCCGAAACACCACTTTCTGTTGGAGCCCCGGGAATGCCATCCCGGGCAACACAGCTTGAAGCACAAGTTGGAAGGAATGGCTGCAAACATTTTGCGGCAAGACGGCTTTTACTCAACCTGGCCCAATATGAGCAACACTCCACGTGGCAGCTACCAACATGCCTTGCAGAGAGCGCCTTGCATTCTCCAGTGTTTGTTTTGGAACGACTCCTTTGCGACTCCGGTGGACACGCTTAGAGCATATGAAGTATGTGTTGGATCAAATCTAAAGTATGTTGGATTCATGTGACAGGACTGACGAGAGACACACATGAACACACACACACACAGAACTGCCACATATCGACTCCTACCTATCATATGACAAACCTCCGTTTCGCGCATAGTTATATTCATATTTGTATGACTGTGGCTATGACTCGACTTATATTATGATGCTGCGCTATCTATCATTGAATCATCATTATCATGAATCATGATTAGTTCATCCTTTCTCACCTCCCTTGTTTCATGGTTCTCCTCAAGCAGTTCATTTTCGGATTCCCGGATTCCGGATTCGGATTCTGTGACGTGACATTGACATGTGTGTGTTTTTTGTTGGTGTTGCAAGTTCCAACTACTGTACTCTCCTGAGCAACCCGAGGCTCTGGAGCACTGAAAGCATCGCAAATAGATATGCGCATTGGGGACACTGAAGTTTCGGAACGATTGGATGAAACAATGCACAAAGCAGTCACTGGGACTTCTCTTGAGTCTGAGATTCCAGAGGAAATCCTGGGCAACCTTGAAGTTCATGATTCTCCGTGTCCTCATTTCGTTTGCCAACTTGACCACAATTATTCCCGTATGGAGCAGATGGTGAAAGATCTGTCATGGAAGCTTGAAGAGCATAAGATTCACCCTGGTTGCCTCCTTGTGTTTTCAAGCTCCCACTGTCGTGACGTCAGCCATCCACGGATTATTGGTGTGTCTGCCAAGAAACCCAAGTTCCACATGTTTTTGAAAGTGGTCCTCGAGCATGACCGAGTGTTGCTGACAAGGTCTCATGATGCGGAGCCCGAGTTTGAGTCTTCACATGAACTTTTCTTGATGCTTTTGAGGTTGTCGGAAAGCACACCTGACACTGAGTGCAATGTTGAAGTTGCCGTTTGGGATTGCAATGCCTTTTTAGTGTCTCAAGGTCAAGGTCCGACATGTTTGCTCCAGAGTAGTCCTGATTCGTTGCGCTGCCAGTTCATTGTCTCCAGTGTGAAAAGAACAAAGAAAAATATGAGAAAATTTCCTTGCCCTTTGGCTTTGACAAAAGCATCAAGAGGAAGCGCCAAGCAGCGCCAAAAAAAAGTTCTTGGGAAAATGGTAAAGCCCAAGAGCAAAGCAGCCAAAGCCAAATCCCAGAAGAGCCCTTCGAAGTGCAAGGTTGGAAAAGTGAAACCAGCCACGCCTGAAGAGATCTCAAGTCAGGACCTCGACAATTCGTCAGAATCAAGTGAGTCCAGTGAGTCTGAGTCTTGCAAAGGTGAGGTGCAAGAAGAAGGTGATGCTTTTCCTGAGGTTGAGAAAGAGGAAGAAGTGATCATTCCTATGTCAAGTACAGTGGAAAAGGAAGCATAGCAAATTGCCCCTCTTGCTCAGGAGTTGAATCAAGCCGACACGAAGCGGGCAGAAGTGGCTCAATCTGTGAGTATGGCTGGCAAAGCCGGGTCATACTTTTCAACTGAGTTAGGGTTGGCCGAGGTAGCTTTTGCAGCAAGTGGCCGTTCGATTTGCATGCACTGCAAGTCAAAGATTCCAATCCATACAGTCCGGTACTCATGGTACCACAGCAAAGTCCGCCCACCAGCATGGTGCCACAGCCGGTGTCTTTTCCAATTGATCCAAGATTCGGGTTTGAAAAGCCAGGCCGTTCCCAAGTTGCAAGCACTCATTGCACAGCACAGTGAGAATCATGTTCACAATCGGCTTGCGGAAGATGCGCAATCCATTTTGACTTCTTTGGAGTCTTTGATGCTTTGAGCTGAGTTCGAGGTCGAAAACAGAATAGCAGCTGCAGCTGCACTGCATTTCCGCATTACCTATCCACTGTACTGGATTCAGAAAACATGCAGATCAATGCAGTTTGTTTGTCTTCATTATAAATGGGAAACTTTTGGTGTCAACCGGACTTGTTGGCGCCGTATTGCTTATATCAGAATCATATCACAGACTCAGACTCATAGACTTTTGAATCATAGACTGTTCATATTCATAGCTGTTGGAGGATCCTACATCAGGTGACAGAAATTGTTGATCGATGTCGATGCCGTCGATGCAGCGATACGTGGTAGTAGAAGTTGAGATTAGCAGTGGCTGCTGAAAATATATAGAGTGAGCTAGAGGCAAGGAGGACAAATTGACATAGATGGTTAGATGGTCCTATCATAGAATCATAGACCATAGACATAGACGGATTACTCATACAAGAGTGTTGCAAACATTCGGACCAGTTATGTATTTGTCAATCAATTAGTTGATCTGAGATAATCTTGTTGCCAAACCATCTTGCGCAGGCGCCGATTGACTTTATGCTTCGCGGCTATTTGGGGCAAGAACCAATTATTGGCTTAGAGCTGGTGGACGGCTACCACATGGAAACGCTTCACCTTGAGCAGCCTGCTTGAAATTTAAGTATCCAGATTCTGACTCAGCAAAGCAGTCTTCAAATTCGGACTGGAATTTTGAGATGGAAAGTAAGTGAGTGCGGGAATCATGAATATGGTTCACCCACATGTCACACCACATATCACAGGAAGGCAGCCCAGTAGCCCAGTGTCTTCTGCAATCATTGGTGGTTTGGCAGTAGTAGGAGTGGCAGTATGTTACCAGTATGCCAGTATGTTACAGTATGTATGTAGCGTAGTAGTAGTCGGCGTCGTAAGGGCGTATGGAGTTTTTCTTTTCAAAAACATCAATGGTAACATCAAGGTACTTTGAGTAAGTCAGGACCCTTCGGCTAAGTAGCGCAGATGTAGGCAGGCATGAAAAGCTATGAGTGAATGCCGCTATGATGCCGCTATGCGATCTAAGCGCGGCATCCTTTGGACTCCCTCAGAGCAGGCAGCGGGTCTATTTTCTCATGGTGAGAAAGGACTTGGCATCGCAGGCACAAGTCCAGGCAGTGGCAGCATGGGTGAAGTTTCAGCTCACCTTTTCGGATCGGAGTGACTTGAGGGACATTTCCAAGTATGTTGAGGAGGTGAAGGATGGCTTGGGAGACGGGTTGCACTTCCCATACACGGCCAAGGACTGTTTATCTCGGCGCCCACACCGGTTTCACAGATCTCTGTAGCTGGTAGCTACCCTGCACATTTTTCCACCTTGGATTTTCCGCCCAACATGGACATGGACCACCCCCCCTGACCCCCTTAAGACTTAATAAAGGATTTGGTCTACGAACTATTTCCAAATTGTTCCGAACTATTTCTACCAGAGTTTACAAATAACTAGTTGCGAAGTCCAATCCAGCCCCCCAGGCTAGACCCCCAAGCATTTTGATGTCTGATTGGAGCCGTGGCCCCAGGATGGCAAAGTGACCTCTCAGAAGCACGCTGCTTTTGTCAAGGAGTGCCAGAAGAAGTTGGGGATGCAGAGTGGGCTGGTTGTCAGGTACAGCGATCGTCACTTGGAGCCCTCTCATCTCTCCTTGTTCAACCAAAGAGAGCTGGAGAGCCTGGATATCCAGTTCGCTTTTTT